ACGAAATTTGTTTGATCAAATAAATTCTGCCGTATATGCTTGTTACAAATTAGCTTTAAGAAATAGTCGACTTGCGCGACATCTACCACACTCTCTTTTCCCTCACCCAACTATGCCCGGTATCAAGAGAGAGCCAAGAAGACCGGAGATGGGATCAGGCGCAGGTGGATGGCGCGACCGAAGTCACCTCTATGCGTGCCACCACGCCCCCTCCTCCCATGTTCGGCACTTGTTATCGGAACGCAACCCGAATAAGGCCTGCCGTACCGTGATCTGGCCCCTATATTGATCCAGCGCTCTTATCACGCGGTCCGCTTAAGGGGCTCATTGGAAGGCAGTACGTGGACCTTAATAAGCAGCCCTGAATTATTTACCAAGTCTTCCTAATTAAACATTATCCTGCACAAACTGAACATTGCAAAAATACTCACCGACCCCAGACAGCAGGATACAACATCCCAGGTACTTTTCAGGCATCCTCCGAACATAATTCGGCCAGCGTAAAGCACATGTGTCAATTATCCTGTCAACCGACCGAAGTCTACTGTCTGTGAACTCTCCTTGTTATGTTTTTAGCCGCACCGACCGCACAACAATTCTCACATTCTGATAGTCTGTAACTGTCAGTTTACGTCGTTTTTCGGTTCTACCGACAGCGTTTCGTATCCGTTTACGCGTGTCTTTTGAGGTAGGCGTTGCATGCCCAATCTTTCACCGCTAAATGGCCGTCTTGTTGACGTCCTGAAAGTAAGAGACTACCTTCTCTAATGGAGCACTAAAATCGAAAACCACACGGGGATTAGAGTGGCCGTTTGGGGTTTGTTAGGGGGGTTTGGCAGATTTCAATAATTCGGTTGACCCAATTGTGAAAAATTCACGCCCTTTGTGAAAGTTGAACACACACAGTAGGGAAGGCTTTTGCGCAGCCAACGCTCCGCCATTGAGCTAAAAGCCTACTAGTCATTCCAGTGAATACTAGATGATTGTTTAGGAAATCCTGCCTGGACAGTCAGCTTAGTGTATCCTTAATGGACCGTTCTATACGAGCCGTAGGTGGAGCGGGTCAGTCAGTATATTTGGGGG